GCAGCAATGAAGGCGCAAGCTACTTTGTTTACTTGGAACCCTATCTTAACCCCTGGTCCACACCCTCACACCCACACCCCAAGTCCTCCTGCTTAGTAGCCTTTAGGTATCTAATCCAGCTGCTCTTTAGAAGATCAGATCCTGAAGGTGAAACTTTGACCACCTCATGAGAAGGAAGGACTCGCTGGCGAAGGGCCTAATGCTGGGAAAGATGGAGGGAAGAAGAAGAAGAAGAAGAAGAAGGAGGAGGAGGAGGAGGAGGAGGAGGCTGGATGGAGTCACTGAAGCAATCGGCGTGAGCTTAAATGGCTCCAAAAGATGGTAGAGGACAGGAAGGCCTGGAGGAACGTTGTCCATCGGGTCGCGATGAGTCGGACATGACTTTGCAACTAACAACAACAATCCAGTGTTTTCTCAACTCAGCCACTTTTAAGATATGCGTGGAGCTCAACTCCCAGAATCTCTCTGCCAGTATGCCTGGCTAGAGGATTCTGGGAGTTGAAGTCCACACACCTTTGAAAGTGGCTGAGCTGCCTAATCCGTAAAGCAGAATTGGCCCAAGGTTGTGCTGGCTGAGAGTCTTGGTGTTGTGTGTCAGCACATCCAGAGGGCACCTGGATAGGAAGAGCAGAGCTCTTCAAACTTGACCACTTTAAGACTTGTGGACTTCAACTCCCAGAATCCCTCCTCCACTCATGTTAGCTCAGGAATTCTGGGAGTTGGAAGCCCACAAGTCTTAAAGCTGTCAAGTTTGAAGAGCCTTGGCTTAGAGCAGTGGTGGCTAACCTTTTTGGGCTCCTGTGCCAAAAATTGTGCGTGCACTTGCACGCTCGCGCGTACGTACCAGCACCCAGAAGGCAACACACACCTCCCCACACCCCCTACGCATGTGTGCACAATCCCCCACCACCCCTCACCCCACCACCCCCTTACCTGCACTGCGCCTCACAGCTGATTTTCGTCCGGTTTGAGGCCTTTCTCGGCCTCCCAGACGCTTTAGGAAGGCTTCTGCAGGCTTTTCAGGACGAAAACTAGGCCCATCTTGTCACTTCCAGTATTTCCAGAAAAACAGGAAGTGATGAAACAGGCCTAATTTTCATCCTGAAAAGCCTGCAGAAGCCTTCCTAAAGCGTCTGGGAGGCCGAAAAAGGCCTCAAACCGGACAAAAATCAGCTGTGAGGTGCACGTATGTGCAGTGAGATAAGTTTGCCTACAGCTCGTGTGCCAGCACAAATGGCTCTGCGTGCTACCTGTGACACGCGTGCCATAGGTTCGCCATCACAGGCTGAGAGCTTGTCAGCCATTTGCTTCACTTCCTCTGACAAATGTTTGCTTTGTGTCTGGCAGGTCTTCTCCGCTTACAAATTTGCACTTGCTGCCCGGGACAGGAAGTTGCCGATGGCCATTGTTAACATTGGCCCCACGCGGGGCGATGCCTTAGCATCTCTAAAGCTGAATTCCCGCTGTGGGGCACTGCTGCCTTTGATTGTCGTTTGAGAGACCCGGTGGGCATCCAGACCAGTAAAGATTCAAGGGTGACGGTGGGAGTGTTGTTGAAGTGGCCCAGGGATTTGAGGCCCAGGGAGCTGAGTCAAATTTCACAAAGATAGCCCGAAGGACTGAGTAAGGTGATTTGCAGCCTAGAAAGAGCTTTGTAGAACATAGAGTGATAGGATTGGACGGGACCTTAGAGCAAGGGTCTCCAACCTTGGCAGTTTTAAGCCTGGAGGACTTCAGCTCCCAGAAATTCCTCCAATTGTCCTCTTCCCTCAAAACTCGTTTTCCACACTTCTTATGTAAACCTCTTGGGTTCCAGCTGTTATCTTGGCTTGCCATCTTAGGATCATGGGTTAAAGCCAGGGGGGGATAAAAGAATCTCGTTCTTGGAGAGCTTTGATCTTTTGCAACCGACCAGCAACTGGTGAAATCAAGGTTGAGGTAACCCAAGCAGGGCTGAGCCAAGGAGAATGGGAAAAATCTAGATCTTGTCTTGTCTCCCTTTGGCTATTCAGGCTCGGGGCCAGGTAGATTCTCAGCTCACGGTGCAATGGCAAAGCAGTTTGCCTTTTTAGTACTGTAAATATTATATACTCAAGTGGCCCCCTCAAAGTGCCCCCTCGAAGGGCCTTCTGCAACATTCAGATGTCCGTGACATTGACCGGTGCTTCTCCTGCACCCCAGCTCCGCTGTTGTTGCTTTTAAGGGGACGACACGAATAAAGGCATCTGTTTCGGAGAAATCTTGCCTTCCTTCCTCAGAGGCACAGGAAAGTCACAGGACTCGGCTACCCGTGAACACGACATGACAAGCTCCGTTATTGCAGTTCATAGATTTGTCGGTTTTAAAAGCAATTGTACACTGAAGCGTGACTTTCCTCTTTATTTGAATAAAGTAATTCAAATATGTAGTAAGTAACATAAAATGAAGAAATCTCTGCTGGACTATTTCAGGACCTTTGATCTAAGAAAAACAGGAACGGTTGCCCAACGTTTGTGCACAATTGCAGCCACCTGACCTCTCAGTCCAGGCGGAGAGCAGGCGCTGGTTTTTCTGGCTTTTTGGAATCCAAGGGCACAAATGCAGCTTTTCACTGCTTTGAAGGGCCTGGTGAAAGAGGCAGAAAGCGGCAGCAGGAGAAGGGAGGGAGTTGAGAGGCTCGGAAAGGGCTGCGGATGGGCCTTGCTGGAGGGAAAGACTTTACAATCCGTGAAGGCCAAATTGCTGCCAAACAGCGTTCCACCTTTCAGTGTTTCCCATTTGCGCGTGGCCTGAACTCGGGGTTTTCCTTTCGGCTTTTGTGCAGCTGGGGAAGGTTTTGTGTCCCTGGCTTGTTCTTCCCACGGTGGCTTTTGTTGTGCTCTGCACCCAGCAGCTTCCCCACCTTGCCAGGGACCGAAAGGGGTGCGATGCCGCCATGCTGGTTAAAAGTAGCACTGCCCTTCCTTGGGTGCAGCGCTAATCAGGAGAGGAGCCCAGGTTTGGGGGTTGATTGGAGCATCTGGCCTGCTCAGATTGGCCTCTCCAGGGTGGTGGGTTTGGGTCTTGGGCTCAGTTTGGCCCCACTCTGGGCCTGCTTCTCAGGAGTGGAAGATAGCAATAGGAGTAGCCCTTAGACTTATATACCGCTTCACAGTGTGCTTTACAGCCCTCTCTAAGCGGTTTATGGAGTCAAAAGTGAGGCTCCATTCAAAATCTAAGAAAGAAAACCTTAGACTCCATTGTTTTGGAGGAAAGGACTTTTACTGGAAATTGAAGTGGGAGCATCAGAAGAATTCAAGATCTGAGGCGTTAGGCGTGAAAATCACATATAGGAAGCTATCCCATGTTCCCACCCCCAAGAGTTCAGACTGGCCATCCAATCTGAGATGTGTATAATGTCACGTGGAGCATCTTCAGGTGGCATTTCACACACCTGGCTCCCCAGGATGGTTGGCCTTGGTCTGCTTAGATAAGAAGCTACAGTTGCGCAATAAGCAAGTAAAAAAGTTTACTCAAGGTTTACAATTCACCCTCTCAAGCCTCCAGCACTCTTCCCCCTCCACAAAGCCCAATTAATTTTCCCTCCCTGTCCCCTTTCTATGGCAGACTGGAAAGACAAGCAGAAGGAGGGCTCTGGAAGGCTGACGGTCAGCCTCTGGCCCCCAACCATCTGGGTCCTCATTTGACCCACCTGGGAAGGATGAAAATCTGAGTCAACCTGGAGCCTGGTGAGGATGGAACTCCTGGCAGTGGGCAGAGTTTGCCTCCAGTACTGCATTCTAACCACGAGGAAGGAAGGAAGGAAGGAAGGAAGGAAGGAAGGAAGGAAGGAAGGAAGGAAGGAAAATAGCAATAGACTTATATACCGCTTCACAATCCTTTTCAGCCCTCTCTAAGCGGTTTATACAGAGTCAGCCTCTTGCCCCCAACAATCTGGGTCCTCATTTGACCCGCCTGGGAAGGAGGGAAGGCTGAGTCAACCTGGAGCCTGGTGGGATTCAAACTGCCAAATTGTAGGCAGTCGGCAGTCAGCAGAAGTGCCTTGCAGTGCTGCACTCTAACCGCTGTGCCACCACAGCTCATAAAAGCTAAAACTAGAGGTGCAGCCCCACCTCAGCTGAAGGGTGGGAGAGGAATTCAAGAATAAACAAAAAGGAGCAAAGTCTGTGTAAAGTCAAGTCTTCCACAAGTCAGCAGGAAAACCTGAAGCTCTTGACATTGGAACCGATTGCCACATGACCGGCTTTCCCGCTTCCAGGTTTCTGCTGATCTTCCCAAACCTTAAACTCTACCCCAGCCTGAGCCATTGAGTGAGGGAGCCTCAGTCCTCACGCTTCCCTTCTCCCCTAAGCTTCCTTTTACGCAGGTACACTGAGGGCAGGGATTGTATAGGTACAGTGTACAACCCTTTCATTGAGTGAGTCTTTCAAAGTTACACCAAATGGCACTGAAAAATGTGACTTGTGACCGTTTTTCACACTTTACAACTGTGGCAGCACTCACATGATCAAAACATAGGCACTTGGCAACTGATTCGCATTTATGACGGCTGCAAGAAAGGTTGCAAGATGAGGCAAACCTCACTTTAATGGCTGTCCTGCTTACCAACATCACATTTTGTCTTTCAATTTATGGCCGTAAGTCCAGAACTGAAATTTAGAATGTATTATTCTAGAAAAGTCTCCGGAAGTTCTGTCCAATCCAACCAACACACGTTGCCCACTGATCCCGGCCCAGAAACCTTCCTCTCCCTCCGAAGAAGAGGAACCAGGGAGGGGACTTGGGAAACGCTGGTGCCTTTCGACACACACAGGAATATGAAACTGGGGCCGAAAGGCCTTGGGGCCACAAAAGCCTCCCGGGCAACTTTTGAAACCGCTCTCCTATTTATTCTGGATGGCTGTCAATCTCTCTGTCCTGGAGAGAACCTGCGTCAGCAGAGGACGCGCCGCCTCCACCTGGGCCAGGCCCTGATTGGGTGCCGCTGAGGCCTGTTGTCTTTCATCAGAGCTGGAAAAACTGCATTTCTGAACCTTGTGATGAGCTTGCAAAGAAAAACCCCGTGCAGGTCAATGACAGAGTTCAGAAGCTGCTGGCCATGGCGCTCTTGAAGATCATGGTCCCTCTCCTGATCGGGCTGGGTGCTTACTATTACTACCCACAGGAAACTTTCTCTGCAGGTAAGGAAGGTAGATTCCCACACACCCCTGGGGAGGCCAGGCCATTGTTGTGCGTCTGCCTTTTGCTCTTTTTTAATGATTCTGTTTTCCATTTAACGGAGAAGAACAGGCTTCCCTAGAGAGGGGAAAATGTGGGTGAAGCTCTTGCACGCAAGGTGTGAAGCAGGTGAGCTGGGAGGGCGGCCCATTTCTGGTGGACCTCCAGGCTAAAGAAACGGGTTGAGGTCGCACAACACAGACCCGCAACCCAGTTTTGCACCGGCAAGTGAGGCACCACTGGTGGAGACGCACAAACATCCCTTTCTCTGTGTGATTGTCTCTGCAGCCTTTCGTGCGCCCTGTCATTCAGACATCACACACACACACACACACACACACACACACACACACCCCAGGGGAATCAGCATGCTGGAGACTCTCAGATTGGGAAGGGCGGGGCAGGAGACCAGGAGGGCTGCAGCAGACTAGAAGTAGCAGCTTTGGGGTCCGGCTGCATTAGAGCCCCTCTGGCCAAAGGTGCCGCCCACTGGATTCTCTGCTCACACAGAGGATCCGTCACAGGAGCGGGAATCTGCTAGCTCTTCACCGATGGAATCTGTGGCTCAGGGCTGGGACAGCCAGCTTTCCTCCCACGGGTGTCCCAGGCACCTGGGCGGATCGCGTCAGAGGGAGAGACGTTGAGCGGACCTCTGCCCAGCCCCAGGGCACCCGGGCAAGCCCCCGTCCACCCACCCCGAAGCCACAGTGCTGATCCAGTTTGAAGTGGTTGTCAGTTCTGCCATTCCTACCTGCGTTTTTTGCTCACCTGGTGGGAGGCTGAGCATCCCCAGTAGGTAAGTGTAGCTGGTGGCCAGTCCTATTCTAGCTTGGTGTTTCAGGTGGGAGCTAGAGGAGTGTAGAACGACCCCGGTTGAGGTGGGCAGTGCAGTGGCCAGGAGGAATTCTGGGAGTTTGAAGTCAAAAGACACCGAAGTTGAGAAACTTTCCTCCTCCCCCCCCCCCCCCCCCCCCCCGCCAGTGCAGGAGCAAATTGCAGAAGTTGGTGCTGGACAATCTCGGGAGCTGAAGTCCATCGGTCTTCAAAGTTTGTTTGGGTTGGGAAATTCTGCCAGCTCGGACTCTGGGACCTTGAGGAAGGGAGGGGGGGAGTAGAATTTGGGGCTGAGAAAAGATGCAATTAGCCCGAGAAGGAAAGAAGAGGTCAGCAGATCATCAGCTTCCTCCACCCAAACCCCCAAAGCCCCACCAATTCCCCCCCCCCCCACTGTGAAGGAAAGCTCTGCCACCCGCTGTTTCCACAAGGGATTAGGCGAAAGGCAGAGGGGGCTGCCCTGCTCCTATTGGCCCTGGAGGCGACCGAGGATCGCCCCCTCCGCTGTTGGTTCTCCTTGGGGGCAGGTGGGGGGGTGGGGGGGGCTTTTCTCCATGCCAAAATCCCTCTCGCTTTTTTGCCCAACCCACGGAGCATGGGAGGTGAATGCTCAGCTGGACTCTTGGCTGCCTCGCTTCGAGGTGGGTTGGCAAGCGTGGAGGTGAGCGGACCACTGGCATGTCCCAAACTACCTGTGTCCCCAGTGAAAGGGGGTGGACCGATGGGGAGAGGGGAGCTGCGGGGTGGGGGGCACGTGGAAGTGAAGCATAGTGTTGGAATTTGCCCGGGGGGGCGGGGGGGGGGGGGGGCCCTCCGGGTAGGGAATTGAGTAAGGATCCCATGGGTGTGTGTGTGTGTGTGTGTGTGGACAATGCTGTCACACACACCCCAGACTAATTTCCTTGTTTATTGGCTTTCCTGCCCAAGGAGGGACCTTCAGATCTGTACCCGCGGCTAGAACGATCCCTTCTAGTCCACGTCTCCAACCGTGGCAACTTCAAGCCTTGAGGACCAACTCCCAGAATTCCTCAGCCAGCAAAGGCTTAACGTTGCCAGCTGGGGAATTCTGGGAGTTGAAGTCCACACAAGTCTTAAAGTTGCCAAGGTTGGAGACTCCTCTCTCTAGACAACATGGACATTTAATAAAAAGATGAAACATAAACTGGTCCCAGTAAAGAGCCTGAGAAAATTCACCGAAGGGAACACAGGATAATACAGCAGGGCTGGAAGGGACCTCGAAGGTCTTCTAATTCACCCCACGCTGCTCACGGCAGGCGGTCCAAAAGACCTTTGGCCAGACTCCTTTTCCTGGCTGGGCCCAGAGCCTGCGCCACTCCAGCCGGGCATCCAAATCCACAGGCCGTCCGTCTTCCTCTTCTGCCTGCAGAGATGGTGCGAGGAATGCGCGTGTTGGTGACGGGTTCAAGTTCGGGCATCGGGGAGCAAATGGCCTACGAGTTCGCACGGATGGGAGCCCACCTGGTGCTGACTGCCAGGAGGGAGGAGCAACTGCGGAAGGTAAGCGGGCGGGAGCCCAATCCAACTCCGAACCCCCGATCGTCTGAACAGGACCAGCCCTGCACGGATCGCATCGCAGCCTCAGCCCGTGTTTCGCTGCCCCACTCGGTCTTTAGCAAAGAACTGGACTGCTTTCCCACGCGGGAAAGAGAAAGAAGCCCCTGTCCGCGTTTGAAACCGGAGAGATTCCCTCGCTATCCCAGAGGTGCTTTTTTTCCAAGAGACAACTGGGCCTTTTTTTTTTCCCTTTGAAGACGTTTCATTTCTCATCCAAGAAGCTTCCTCTGCTCTGACTGGAAGGGTGGGGACGGGAAAATTGCAGATTACAGGAAAAAATGCAGACTACAGGAACCATTTGCGCTTCAGTTTGAGATAGAGAAGACTTTCTGCAAAGAGCATAAATCCTTCCCTTCCCCGTCATTCAGTCAGAGCGGAGGAACTTCTCGGATGAGAAGTGAAACGTCTTCAAAGACAAAAAACAGAAAGTCCAGATGCCTCTTGAAAAAAATAAAAAAAGCACCTTTGGAACAACCAGAGGACGAGAATCTCCACAGATTCATTCACTAGCTTCAGTCTCAAATGGGTGTCGGGTGCAAATCCAGATCCTCTGCTTTTTGGGGTGGAGACAGTTCTATTCTTGCTGGGGCACCCCAATGCCGCCCCCCCCCCCAGCCATTCTGGAAGGACGCTCTGAGCAGTGGTGGGATTCAAACATTTTTACTACCAGTTCTGTGGGCGTGGCAGGGGAAGGAGACTGCAAAATCCCCCTTCCCTCTCCACCCCACTAACCTGCTTTCCAGCTCTGTTCTCCTGGGCAGGGCAACCAAAGGAGACCCAGCCAATCAGCTGAGACTCAATAAGAGGCAGAGAAGAGATGGGGTTGGCTGGTTCTCCGGACTACTCAAAATTTCCTCTACCGGTTCTCCAGAACTGGCCAGAACCGCTGAATCCCACCTCTGGCTCTAAGCAACAGCTAACCTTGGTTTCCGGAAACTGAGTTTCAGGGAAAGGGTGAAGGGATGGTGGTTTAAAATAGGCCTGAGCGCCAATCCTGCTGACAGCCACCAATCTCACTGGCTGCTCTTGAGCCCGCAAGGTGGTCAAAAAAAGAAAAAAAGGCCACACATCTTGACTTTTGTTGTGGCTGTTAAAGCTTGGCAGAGCTTCTTTTATTTTGACCTTTTTTATTAGAATTTTTCAACACAATAAAACTATTCAAAATTAAAAGATTAAGAAAGAAAATGTATAGGAGGAAAAAAATGAGAAAAAAATTAAATTTAAAAGAAAACAAAGAATTATTTCCACCCTTCTTTTTACCAAGTAGTTGCCATCTAAATTCGTCCACCTCCCAGTTTATCTTACTTTTTAAATCCTCAATCCAGAAATCATCAACTCAGTCTTCATCTTTCAACAAATGTCCATCGGATAAAGTTTCTTGTCTTTCAAAAAAAAAAAAACCTCCTTTGATTATCTTTCCTTGACTAAACTAGTCATTTTTGGTTTTTTTCCTCAAGTTATCAATATTACAAGTCACCTTTCCTGTTTTATTTCATGATTTCTCCATCTTTGTGCTTGCAATAACCCTGGCACATACCGTATCATCTACAATATGCCATATTAATTCCCCACGTTTCTAACTGACGGCCCATGAAACCCCAACAAAAGGATTCCAGTGGTCTCATCCTAACATTCGGCTTGGCAGAGATTCAACTGCAGTGACTTGACTTTTGGGTCCAAACCCTTCGGATTCCCTGGTTCTTGGGAGTCCTTTCCAAGCGCCAACCCCTTGCCCTCTTTTTTCCCTTCCTCTTCAGGTGGTGAAGAAGTGCCAGGACCTGGGCGCCAGTTCTGCCCACTATGTGGTGGCGGATATGGGCAACCTGACCGATGCCCAGAAGGTGGTGGAAGAAACTAAGGCCAAGTTGGGTAAAGGCGACCTTTTGCATCTCACCCAGGACCAACCCTTGTGCCTCCTGGGGGGCGGGGGGGGGCGTTGCGGGGAGGGGAGAGACTGAGGAATGGGATGCTGTGTGTGTAGGAAGGCAGGGCGGTGTTCACCTTCCCCTACCTAGCCCAGCCATGCAGTGAACCTAGCCACACACACCCCGCCCTTCCAGGGCTGGGCTTCCAAAATATTAGCAACAGGTTCTCTGCCCAGGTGCTGGATGGGCGTGGCGGTGGTGGGCGTGGTCTAGTTGGCCTCCTGCACCATAGCGGGAGGGACATTTTTGCCCTCCCCGGGCTCCGGAGGCTCTCTGGAAGCTGGAAAGAGGCCCATTTCTGGTCTTCCCAAACTTCCGGGAGGCCTGTTTTTTGCCCTCCTCGAGCCTGCGCACACACCTTGCACTTACCTGCATCCAAAACGGGCTGCATGGGGACTCCTGGGAGGGAAGGGGAGGGGTGGGTGGGGCCAGCCAGGAGTGGGATTGGCGGGGTCTCTCCGAACTGTGCAGAACCCGAGCTAGGGGCTCTCCTGAACCTCTTCGAATCCCCAGCACCATCCATTCCTCTCTCTAGAAGTTGTCTTGTCTCCCACCCCCTGTACTTTGCTGTCCCCTCCTTTCCTACATGGGGAAGACCACCCAGGGGGGTCCCATTTCCACGGCTCCTCCAGAATGGGAGAATCCATGCAGCAAATGGGGTGGGGGAGGTACGGTGGCCTACAGGTGGAGCTCTAGCCTCACCATCAGGAGGCTGTGAGTTCGATCCTAGACAGAGGCAGTTATTTCTCTCTCTGGGCACTATGAGAATAGATCTGCTGAGCAAAACTCCGCATTGGTGACAGGAAGGGCGTCTGGCCAGTGAACACCCTGCTAGCTCCATTCAGTTGCCCAGACTCCACCCCGCAAGGGATTGTGGGGTCATTAAATGTCAAAGAAGAAATGGGGTGGTGGGAGACAACCTCTTTGAAAAGCAACAAGCGGTTCAAATCTTTGGGGTGCACCTGAGGGGACCCTTTTTGGGGGACTTCATAGCTGTGCGGAGAAACATGCTTGCTCTCAGGTGTTTCTGCACCCCACATGGCCCAGCTCTGAGAATCCAGAGTTGGCCCCCAATATGGGGCAATGTGAAAAACAGATAACACACGTGGAAAGGAATCTTGGAGGAGTTTTAGTCCAAGCCCCTGCTCAATGGCAACAGGACTGACTTATATGCTGCTCTTTTCAGGGGCATGGTGGCTCAGGGGCTCGGACGCTGAGCTTGTCGATCAGAAAGGTCGGCAGTTTGGCGGTTCAAATCCCTAGTGCCGCGTAACGGAGTGAGCCCCCGTTGCTGGTCCCAGTTTCTGCCAACCGAGCAGTTTGAAAACACGTTAAAAAAATGCAAGTAGAAAAATAGGGACCCCTTTGGTGGGAAGGTAACGGTGCTCCGTGCGCCTTTGAAGGTGGTTAGTCATGCCGGCCACATGACCAGGGAGACGTCTTCGGACAGCGCTGGTTCTCCGGCTATGAAACAGAGATAAGCAGCATCCCCTAGAGCCAAAAACGAATAGCCTGGGGAACCTTTATATGCCGCCCTTTAGTTCTTTTAGAGCATTCAGTGTCAGAATTATTTGCATATTGCCCCCAACAATCCAGGATGGAAGGCTGAATCAACCTTGAGCCGGTCAGCCTTGAACTCCAGGCAATGGGCAGAGTTTGTTTGTAATGCTGCATTCTGACCGCTGGGCCATCCGGGCTCCTCGCATTCCAAATGGCTGCATTTAATAAATGCAATAAACAAACAATAATGCAGGACCAGGAAAAGCAAGGATGGCCAGCAATTGGCAGGCGTGTGTGTGTGTGTGCGCGCGCGCTCATTCCTGTCCCAGAAGATCAACTATTTTGAGAAAGGCCCAAGATATCCCAATGTTTTGCCCTTTGCTGGCCTGGTCTGGCTGACTGACCTTCCCCTGTGCTGGGCTCCCTCCTGCACTGAGCTGTGATGTCAACATCCAGCCCCTTTGCAGCCTTCTGCATGCCCATCTGCCCTGCCTGGGGCTCCACGCTGGAAGACACCTTCCGAGGGGGGCAGCGAGCCAGCGCCAGCACCAGCAAAAAGATCCGTTTGCCTTTTGTGCAGGTAGGCCCTGAGCGCCTCTCTGTCCTTCACTCCCCCAGGAGGTCTCGACCAGCTAGTTCTGAACCACGTGGGAGGAACCTCCTTCGGTCCATTCAAGGGAACAATTGAGCCCGTGATCAAGTCGATGACCGTGAACTTCTTCAGCTACGTCCAGTTGACCATTTGTGCCATGGACCTGCTGCTGGAATCGAAGGGGAACATCGTAGTCGTCTCCTCCATGAGCGGTAAGTACCGCAATCCTCACAGGCACCCGGGGGGATCCCGCAGGGAGTGAGGCATCCATTCGTGCTGAAGGAAGGACGTCTCCTGCGTGGGATCCCATGGCGGTATTCAGCCGGATCGGGCAAACCGGGGGCAAGGATTTGGCGTGGGTCTGGCTGGCCACGCCCACGACCCGGTTGCCCTCCCGCCCGATGCTCGGTCGCCCCGCCCGCCTGACGTTCAAGGTATTTCGTTTTTTCCCCTCCCAACCATCAGCTGTTCATACGATCTGCTGGGCCGGGATTCCCCTTGCTGAGGCCCAGGAAGGCCCCCCCTCCATTTTTTTTGCCTTCCTGAGCCCCAGGGGAGCTTTAGGGGAGCAAAAATGCCCCCCCCAGAGGCTCTTCTGAGGCCAGGAAGCTCCCCAAATGGAGCGTCGAGGGTTGCTGCGTCCCCTTCCCATGCTCTGCCTTTTCTTCTTCCTGAGCCTCAGAGGAACCTTAGGGGAGCAACAAACCCCCCCCCCCAGGCTCCTCTGAGGCCCAGAAGGCCCCCAAAATGGGTAGGGGCTGCAAAAAAGCCAAAAAGAAAAAAGCCACGCCCACCCAGTCACATGGCCATGCTCACCAAGTCACTCCCACAGAACTGGTAGTAAAAAGTTTTGAATCCCACCACCGATGAGATCCTACCAGTTCTCAATTTGATGGCAGAGGATTTGCTTCCAGGTGTCACCAGCCGCTCCATTTCCCCCTTTCTCTCCTCGCACCCCGTTCTTCCTTCTATACTCCCCTTCATTCATTGCCTCTTAGTCTCCAAATTTCGGGTCTCTCTCTTCCCGAAGATCTCATCCACAACCTACTTCTTAGTAAGCTAGGAAAAAATGGAATAGATAGCACCACCACTAGGTGGATTCGCAACTGGCTGGCAAACCGTACTCAACGAGTAGTCCTTAATGGGTCTAAGTCTACATGGAGTCTACATGGTAAGCAGTGGGGTGCTACAAGGTTCCCTCTTAGGCCCAGGACTCTTCAATTTCTTCATTAATGACTTAGACGAGGGAATAGAAGGGGAACTTACCAAATTTGCAGATGATACTAAGCTGGCAGGAATAGCCAACACCCAAGAAGATAGGCTCAAGATCCAGAGGGATCTTGACAGACTAGAACACTGGGCCGTATCTAACAAAATGAAATTCAATGTAGAGAAGAGTAAAGTCTTACACTTAGGCAAGAAAAACCAAAAGTATACATACAGACTGGGTGAAACCAGGCTCAATAGCAGTAACCGTGAGACAGATCTTAAAGTCTTAGTGGACAACCAGCTAAATAGGAGCCAGTCGTGTGCAGTGACAGCCAAAAAAGCCAATGCAATACTAAATTGTATTAACAGAGGGATACAATCAAGATCAAGGGAGGTACTAATATCACTCTATAAAGCCTTAGTAAGGCCACACCTAGAGTCCTGCATCCAGTTTTGGTCTCCACACTATAAAAAAGGATGTTGAGACTCTAGAAAAAGTGCAGAGAAGAGCAACCAAGAGGATTAGGGGATTGGAGGCTAAAACATATGATGAGTAGCTGCTGGAATTGGGCATGGCTGAAGAGAAGGACCAGGGGAGACATAAGAGCAGTCTTCCAGTATTTGAGGGGCTGCCACAGGGAGGAAGGGGTCAAGCTATTTTTCAAAGCACCCAAAGGCCAGACAAGGAATAATGGATGGAAACTGAACAAGGAGAGATTCAACCAGGAAATAAGGAGACATTTTCAAACAGTGAGAACAATTAATGGATGGAACAGAAGTTGCCTTCGGAAGTTGTGGGAGCGCCATCACTTGAGACTTTCAAGAAGAGACTGGACTGCCATTTGTCAGAAATGGTGTAGGGTCTCCCGCTTGGGCAGGGGGTTGGACTAGTTGACCTACAAGGTCCCTTCCAACTCTGATTATCTGTTATCTGTTATCCATTCCGTACATCCACCACTTTCTCAATCAAGTCATTCCATTCAATCAATCAATCAACCAATCGGAATTGAGTTGAAAGGGACCTTGGAGGTCTTCTAGTCCAGCCCCCTGCTCAAGCAGGAGATCCTATACCAGTTCAGACAGGTGGCTGCCCAGTGATGGAGCCCCCACAACTTCTCTTCCACTGGTTCGTTGCTCTCACTGCTAGGAAGTTTCTCCTTAATTCGAGGTTGCTTCTCTCCTTAATTAGTTTCCACCCATGGCTTCTTGTCCTGCCAACTACACTCCCTTCTCACATTCCTCTCACAAATTTCCCTCCCACAGACCTCCTTGGCCCCCCCCCCCCCCAATTTGCACCCAGCACAACCCTTCCAGTTCCAGATGAGGTTTACCAGATCCACCTGCAGCAGCCCCTTCTCCAGAAGTCCCCGGGGAGCCTCTCTCTTTATTGCCCTTAATCCCCCGAGAGGCGCATCTGATGGTGGCGACACAAAGGTCTTTCTTCGAGACGGGGAAGACTTCTGCCTTTGTCAGGGCACTTCAAGGAGCCCTTTCGATTTGTTGATTTTGTTTCACTCTTGATTTTTATCTGCTCTTCTCATTCTAAGTGTTGCAATGGACTTTCTTCTCCAGAGGGCTACTATAATAAGGAGGCTTTAATAACTCACTGCACATCACCCCTTGGGCCTGGGTTTCTTTGCAAGGCAGAGATGCAATCAGCTCATGAACAAGTCACTAGCTATGCTCTACCCACACATCACTGTCAAGTCAGAGTGACAGGTAGTGGTCATTTAGCTGTTCTGACCTGGGTTTCACGAAATCCCAAAGCAGATTCCTCGGCCCGACAAAACCCCTTTTTAATAGGCTAATGTGAATTCCTGTCACTCACATCCAGCAAAGTCCCAGCAAACAGTCTTTCAAGGGTGAATTTACAACCACAGACCTTCTCAGGCTTGGAGAGCTGCCAGGCCGGTAGCTTCCAAGCGCAACGCTGTACCAGAAAATACTTGGCAGGGAGTCTCAAACAAAACTTCACCCTAATTAAATGAACTAATTGTCTCCTGGAAACCCCACTCCCCTTTCGCTCCTCTTTATTCCCTGTGGGAGGGGTCATTCACCATCCACCAAAGCCCTTACTCCCAAATCGGCCCTCGTTCCTTAGCTGTTCCCTTCTTCTGGCAGCTCTGCACATGCGCACATTGGGAACAGGCTCCAGCTGTTCTTCTGCCCCACTGATCTCCGACTCCGAAGTCAGCTGATAACTGTCGGACGGCCCTGGCCCCATCTCTGCCTCCGAGACAGAGCCCTCGTCAGAGCCTTATCCAGACTCCAGAGCCCATGTTCCTCGCCAGACTCCTCACTGTCTGAGTCTTCCACCAGCTCCGCTAACTGCTGGTGGGCCACAACATTAGTGACTGTTACAGCAGACCTACTTTGAAGCTAGTTACCACTTGGATTCAAAGTTCCAACGGTCCCCCTCCCCTCACTCACAGACACTTGACCAGAGTTGGAGTGCTCGGCCACACAGCCACATCTGTGGCCATTTGCAGCATCCCATTGTTGGTCACCTGGCTTGGCTGCCTTTGACAAGGATTTTGCCCAAAATTGGCACTTCTGGTTTTCTCCAAAGCCAGGCTCCATAATGATTCTAAGTTAAGAATGACCTTATTAAAATGGACAAAGAAAGTTCTAAACATCCTCAAAGATCCATCTCATGCTGGGCACCCCCTTTTTTTTTGAACTATTACCATCTGGCAGACGGTACAGGATAATCAAAACAAAGACAAATAGGCTGAAAAACAGCTTCTATCCCAGGACAGGAGCTCTGTTGAATTCTACTGTATATAGTGCAATATTAATGCAGTATCAGGGGTTTTCCGTTCAATTGTATAGAATGCGAAGGATGTGTGTTTGTGTTTATTTTCATAGTCATAATAGACACTGCAGATGGCACTTAATTTCATTGTGCGAGGTGCAATGGCAATAAACTAAACTAAACTAAACATGGAAGAGCGCACAATTGGGGGAGAGATTGAGAGAAGGGGGAACAAGCAAACGGATCCTCCATCCACGCCAACCTCTCTTTCCTCCTCTCAAGGACGTGTTCCGGGCCCCTTCAGCGTCTCCTACGCAGCAGCTAAGTTCGCCGTGGAAGGGTTCTTCACTTCGCTGCGCACCGAGTTGCGCCTGCGGAACATGGACCTGCCCATCACCGTGGCTGTGCTGGGCTACATCGACACGGGTGAGTGACACGTCGAAACCCTCGCTTGCCCAAACCCAGCGCCCTCCAGTCGGGCCAGCCACCCATCCTTTTGCTCCTTTCTGCAGAAACGGCCGTGAAGTCCGTGGGAAACAAAATCACGCAGAGGCCGAGCCCCAAGGAAGAGTGTGCCCAGCAGATTGTGAGGGGCGGAGTGCTGCGTTACCGCGAGGTCTTTTATCCTTACTGGGCCCTGAAGCCCACCCTGATCTACCGAGAGCTGCTGCCAGACCTCATGGACCAAGTCATAGGCTACGGCTACAGACTGGAGAACATCCTCTAAAGCTCAAAGGACCACCCAGCATCGCCATCCGTGTCTCCCAAAAGATCGGGACTCCGCAGCGTTTGTGGCGAATGCGAGAGGAAACCCAAGTCTCCTCTGCCCTAGGAGAGGAGAGCCAGGGACAAAATGGCGCCATTTCCGTCTCCTTCCCTCAGCTCAATTTGTGCAGAACCCAGCAGTAAATCAAACTCTTCTCAGGGTGCCCAATTTTTCAAGACCCGTTGGGGAATCTGGAACCAAATACTTACTGAACCTACAGACTGTGATCACGGCAGAGATAAGAGCTGGGACCCATAGTACGTATGTGCTACGTGAGGTGCTATCCTGAGCTGCACAAATTGCTTTATTTTTGATGACAAAGCCAACAGAAGCATCTTGTACTGCTATCCCCCTACCCATCAATCGCTAGATTTGCAGCCCAGAATGGCTGGTTTGAGGGTCAGATTCACTCTGCAAGGGCCAAGGGTGATCTCGGCCGACAGCACCTGGCCCTAGAAGTCACGGAAGCAAAATCTTTCTCCACTTAAGTAACGTAAAGTTTTCATAAAATTGCAGAATGTCAGGATCGTTTTTGGGCACGTCTGCAATTAAAACACAGTCTGGAAGCCCCTTCCACCACTGAGTCTCATTTCACACGAACCTTCTAACTGGCCAAATGCCCATCATCCTTTTCCACCCACTCTGGCCGCCCTTCCAATTTTTGTCCCCTCTGAAAGCAGATGAAGCAGGGGTGGGATTCTGCCGGTTCCGACCGGTTCTACAGAACCATTTGCAGTTCAGAGAATTGGCCAATCGTGCCCCTGGCCGGCCCCGCCACCATTCGCTTTTTTCAGGGTTGCAAGTGAAGGACCACCTGCAAGTTGCAACAGCTCGGCCTAGAAGGTGGGTTTTGAGAGAAAGGAGGGAGGGGGGATATGGGACAAAAGAGGGAGGGGAGGGAAGGCAGGAGGGAAGGGAGGGAGGGAAGAGGGAAGGGGAAGGGGAAGGGGAAGGGAAGGAGGGAAGAAAGGAGTGGGAGGGAGGGGGGAGGGAGGGAGGGAGGGAGAAAGAGGAAGGAAAGAAGGAAGAAAGGAGAGGAGGAAGGAAGGAAGGAGGAGGAAGGGAAACAGAGGAAAGGAAGGACACTTCAATGTGCTTGGCCATCTCCCTTTCACTCAAGAAAATAGACATTATGTTTACTTTCTGCTGCATTGGGATCAGCTGAGAAGCAGAGGCCACACACACACACACACACACACAGAGAGAGAGAGAGAGAGAGATGCAGAGAGAGACCCACAGCCACACCTGCCCTGAGGAGCATGCACCAAACTTTTTATTCACGTAGCATCTTCCCATACAACGAAAAGACATTTAGGCCCCTGCAGAGTTTGTATCGGGGCCCGGGCTTCCCTTGTCCGTCTCGTCCTCCTTGTTGCCTCTGAACCTGGCCAGCACGGGGGTGTTGAAAACAGAAGTGGGGCTGGAAGGAGGGCCAGAGCCTTGGGGAGACGAGGTCGGGGAGCTGCTGGCAGGAACCCTGGAAGAAGAGAGCCACGCCTGCAGTCAAGACTGGCTCCTCCAGAAGGAAGCGGGCTGTGGGATCAGGCCGTGGGGTGGGACCCTCCGCCCTCCTTCTCAGGAAGGGCTGACGGTCCCAGATGTGCCTGGAAGACACTGTCAACAGAGGTGGGATTCAGCTGGTTCTGACCGGTTCTAGAGACCCGGTAGCGGAAATTTTGACTAGTTCGGAGAACCGGCCAATCCCCCCTCTGACTGGCCCCTCCAACCCCGTCTCTTCTCTGCCTCCCACTGAGTCCCAGATGATCGGCTGGGTCTCCTTTGGTTGCCCTGCACAGGAGAACGGAGCTGGAAAGCAGGTTAGTGGGGTGGGGAGGGAAGGGGGATTTTGCAGTAACCTTCCCCTGCCACGCCCACCAAGCCACACCATGCCCACCCAGCCCACAGGACCGGTAGTAAAAAAAACTGAATCCCACCACTGACTGCCAACCTCCTTGAGGCAAACGGTGGGCAGCCTCGGGGTCCCAACCTCCCTTCCACCAGCTCTCTTCTCTCCTGGTCCACCTCCTGCCTTAGAGCAGAGATCTCCAACCTTGGCGACTGGTCCTTGAGCCCGTCAGGATCGAACTGCTGGTAGTGGGCAGAATATTAGCCTGCGATACGGCATTCTAACCACTGCACCACCATGGCTCTCAGTATGCATTGATAGTGTTCTCCAAGTAAGAAACAAAGAAGAGAACTTTTTCCTTTCCCCCATCTCTGGTTCCCTCCGCACCCAGTGGGTGGTTCTTGTGCCCCTGGCGCCCGGTTCAATCCAGCCGCAGATCTCCTACTCTAAGAGGGGGCTCCTGAGTCGGCCCACTGCAGCTGCGGAAAGGCAGTCTGGCCCACTGGCCCACTGACAAGGAACAGCGCTGGCACCACGGTTGAGAATCCCGACCTAGACACTAAAATGCAAACTCATCTTGCCAGGCCAGCCAATCTTGCAAGAGGAAAAGAAAAATGGTCCAAGGAAAATCAAGGAAGGCCTGAAGGCGGGCACACGTACCTCGGGAAAGGATATTTCAGCCGGTGGACAGGGTTGTTTGTGAGGAACGAGGGACGAAATCCTCCAGGATTCAGCATTAGCGGGCGTAGGTCAACCATGCTGCGGAAGGTGGGAAAAAGGAAACAGGAGTCCTATAGAGCAGCGGTCCCCAACCGTGGCCCCTTTAAGACTTGTGGACTTCAACTCCCAGAATTCCTTCAGCCAGCTTTGCTTGTGGACTTCAACTCCCAGCTTTGCTGGCTGAGGGATTCTGGGAGTTGAAGTCCACAAGTCTTAAAGGGGCCAAGGTTGGGGACCCCTGCTATAGAGAACATGCCCCAGAGCCTGCGGCTGTACCTGGCCTTCCCTTACTCTCCCCTGGGTGCTGCTCTTTTGAGGGAGGCCAGGAACGGGCTGGCGGGGGTTTAGGAGAGCCCCTAGCTAAGAATCTGCGCAGTTCAGAGAACCCCCAAATCCCCCTTCTGGCTGGCTCTGTCCACCCACCCCACCCCTCCCAGGAGTCCCCACCGGGCCGGTTTGGATGCAGGTAAGTGCAGGGGGTGCGCGGAGGCTCGTAGACGACGAAAAACGGGCCTCCCAGAAGTTCGGGAAGGCCAGAAATGGGCCTTCCGGAGCCCGGGGGAGGCTGTTTTTGCCCTCCCGGAGGCTCAAGGAAAGCCTCAAGAGCTCCCCACCGCCATGGAGCAGGAGGCTGACTAGGCCACGCCCACCCAGCAACCAGGCAAAGAACCCGTTGCTAAAGTTTTTGGAGCCCGCCCCTGAGGGAGACCCCATCCTTCCCACCCCCTCCCCATCACCACCAGGGTCCATGGCGGCCCAGCGGATGCCAGGTTCCCTCTGACCACCCTGGCACCTGCTCTGCACCTCCTCCCTTCCGTGGGACGCTCAGAGGGTGGTTTGACTCATCACTTCACACTTCCCCCCATCAGTCAGGTGTTCCTCCATTTCAGGGGCCTCCCAGTCCCTCCCACACTGATCATCTTGCTTTCCACGCTGGCCAACCCAACGCTGGTTGAATAGCCTCCTTCCTCCCCTTCCCCTTTCTTGTAGCCGATTGATACCAGAAAACCAGCCGGGAGGAGCCACAGGGTGCCAAAACACTTTCTTAGCTTTGGGTTCTTTGCCCTGGCAGGACTTGGTTAATTTGCCCAACTGCCTGGATTCACATGACCTCCTGAACCATAAACTGGTCCCGTGGGGCTGGTTTTCCAGAGTAGGGGTCTCCAAGCTTGGGAACTTTAAACTTGGCAGACTTTAACTCCCAGAATTCTGAGAGTTGTAGTGCTCCAGGCTTAAACTTGCCAAGGTTGAAGATCAGTGGTGAGATTCAAATAATTTAACAACCGGTTCTCTGCCCTAATGATTTCTTCCAGCAACCAGTTCACCAAACTGCTCAGAAAGTTAGCAATCGGTTCTCCCCAACTGGTGCAAATTGGCTGAATCCCACCACTGTTGGAGACCTCTGTTCCAGAGAAAAGCTCTACTCCAGCATTTCTCAACCTCAGCAACCTTCAAGACTTTATCAAGGAAATAAAAACACAGAAAATACTGTTTTAAAAAGGAAAAAGATACAACAAAGGACATATTTTAGCAGTAAAATAGTTATTATTCCATATATAGTTATCTAATGGAGTTATCAGTCGAGTACAAATTTATTTCTTACGGTTATATAATTTTCATGTTTTTAGCCTACTACTACTTTGTAAAACTGAGTTGCCTATTTCATTATATTTGTCCACACGTTTGTAGGCAATCACACATCCACTCCAGCAAGTGGAGTCAGCTCCAATGATTCAAAGTGGCCATACAATTACTTTTTCCAATGCCTTTCTCCCAAAACTTAAGTAAATCTTCTACATTGTAAAAACATGTGTTTCAAAGAAGCATTATTCTTATTACATAAACCTTCATTTGAGGCCCAGTGACACTCAAACTCACATTGTCTAGGCAATATAGGAATTTCTAATTCTTTGTGTGCCCAATCACATTGGCCAAATAAAGTCTATTCTATTTTATTTTTCTATCTTTTATTTTTATTATTCTATCCTATCTGATCCTATCCTATCCTATTTTCTATTCTATTCTCTATTCTATTCTAATTCTATTCTTACAGATTACAGATTAGCAGAGTTGAGGTCATCTAGTCCAACCCTCTGCCCAAGCAGGAAACCCTACATTATTTCTGACATATGGCAGTCCAATCTTTTCTTGAAAGCCTCCAGTGATGAAGCTCCCACAACTTCCGAAGGCATCTTCAATTCCATTGGTCGATGATTCTCATTGTCAAAAAATCTCTCTTTATTTCCAGGTTGAATCTCTCCTTGTTCAGTTCCCATCCATTATTATTCCTTGTCTGGCCTTCAGGTGCCTTGTAGAACAGCTTGAGCCCTTCCTCCTCTCTGGGGCAGGCCCTCAAATGCTGGAAGGCTGCTCTCCTGTCTCCCCTGGTCCTTCTCTTCCCTAGACTAGCCAGGCCCAGTTCTGCAACCGTTCGTTGTATGTTTTAGCCTCCAGTCCCCTAATCATCCTGGTTGCTCTTCTCTGCACTTTTTCTAGAGCCTCAACATCTTTTTTATAATGTGGTGACCAAAACTGGATGCAGTACTCTTGGTGTGATCTTACTAAGGCTTTATAGCGTGGTATTAGTACCTCTCTTGATCTTGATTGTATCCCTCTGTTAATGCAATTTAGGATTGTGTTGGCTTTTTTGGCTGCCGCTGCACACGGCTGGCTCCTATTTAGCTGGTTGTCCACTAAGACTCCAAGATCCCTCTCCCAGTTCCTGCTATTGAGCCTGGTTTCACCCACTCTGGATGCGTCCTTTGGGTTTTTCTTGTCTAAGTGTAGAACTTCACTTTTCTCTACATTGAATTTGAGTTTTCTATTCTATTCTATTCTATTCTATTCTATTCTATTCTATTCTATTCTATTCTATTCTATTCTATTCTATTCTATTCTATTCCACTTATTTCTTAGCATATGCACACAAAACTGATTTATTGATAATAGGTATCTATAAAATGTAGAGTGGTATTTTTAGTTTCAAAAGAACTAACAAGTTTTTTTAATAATTTGGATGTCTCAGAAGATAAAAATACTAAAAATGCTTTCTAGGGACTTTTGGTGTTGAAATCCAAATACCTTACAGTTTGCTGAGGTTGAGAAACCCTTCAAGCCCATGGGTGGCTCGGGGAGTTCTGTGAAGGCAACAATTCTACCTCATTTCTATACAGTTTTCTTCCTCCCTGTCTGGCTCCTGACCTCTTTTGATTGACAGGTGACATGCCGGCCCAAAGCTGCTTCAAGTCTGTATTGTTTCTCTCCGCCTGTCAGGGTAGAGAGCAGCAGTTTATATTCAATGCAAGCAATTATCTTTCCTGGGGAATTATGAAGAAGATGCTAAGCCTGGAGAGGAAATCCTCTTCCTTTAACAAGTCCAAGTAAATGAAAAGCAAAAGATATTAACACATCTAACAAAACGAAATTCAATGTAAAGTAAAGTCTCACACTTAGGCAAGAAAAACCAAAAGGACACATATAGACTGGGTGAAACCAGGCTCAATAGCAGCAACTGGGAGAGGGATCTTGGAGTCTTAGTGGACAACCGGCTAAATAGGAGCCAGCCGTGTGTGGCAGCAGCCAAAAAAGCCAATGCAATCCTATATTGCATTAACAGAGGGATACAATCAAGATCAAGGGAGGTACTAATGCCACTCTATAAAGCCTTAGTAAGGCCACACCTAGAGTACTGCGTCCAGTTTTGGTCACCACACTATACAAAAAGTTGAGACTCTAGAAAAGGTGCAGAGAAGAGCAAGCAGGATGATGAGGGGACTGGAGGCTAAAACATATGGACATATGGACTTGTCTAAGGACAAGAAGGACTGGGGGCGACATGATAGCAGCATTCCTGTATTTGAGGGGCTGCCACAAAGGAGAGGGAGTCAAGCTATTCTCCAAAGCACCTGAAGGACAGGACAAGAAACAATGGATGGAAACTGATCAAGGAGAAGAGCAACCTGGAACTAAGGAGAAACTTCCTAACAGTGAGGTCAATTAACCAGTAGAGTGGCTTGTCTTCAGAAATTGTGGGTGTCCCAGCACTGGAGGCTTTTAAGAAGTAAATGGAGGACGATAACCAGTTAAAAATTAGAAGCAATAAACCCAGCATAAAATCCCAGTAATAAAAAAAGCCACCGAATATTTAAGATAAGTCTAAACTCTTCCCTGACTCTAAAAAGCCATAATAGAGGCCAGTGGAGCCTCTGGGTCCAGCCCACTCTATCGGGGCCACCACCAAGAAAGTCCCCTTGCTGTAACTCAGAGGTCTCCAAACTTGGCCACTTTAAGACTTGTAGACTTCAACTCCCAGAATTCTCTGTAGTTGAAGTCCACAAGTCTTAAAGTGGCCAAGTTTGGAGACCTCTGCTGTAACTAATGCTCCCCACCCCACCCCAGTGCAGAGGGGCAACCTCTGGAAAGGGAAGAGGTTGCCGAGATGAGAAGCACAAAAGCACAAACCTGCTTTGGGAAAGAACCGAAGATTTTGGGCATGGCTGGAACGCCTGAGTCCCAGAGCTTGGCTTCTGTCGGGCTGAACCCTCCCGTCAGGATAGTCCTCCGGAGCCTCCTCTCGGCCGGCCTCCAGGATGAGGTCTTGGCAGCTGAAAAGGAGCAAAGTTTCACCCTCCCATCCATGTTTGGAAGAATTAGGGTTTGGGGGCTAAGCCAGTGCCTCCCGCCAGGCTGCAAGGAGGTCAAGAAAGTCAAAATGGCAACCACCAACCATGTGAATGTGATTCTTCTAGTGCACAAAAAAGGGGCAGGAATTTCCCTGCATGGTTTGGATCACCTTCTTGACTTACTTTTCTTTTTAAAATTATTTTATATTGTGCAATTTCTTTTGTTATATATACAATTTCCATATCCACAATGGCAGTATACAATCTCTTTTAAATACAAATAGGAAACCTTATGCACACAATAGTTGTAACCATTATTCTCAAAGTCCATGATCTTCATTTATCCTTTATTAAATGTTTTCCATTATTTAATTAAGCACTGTTCAGTTTTGTCTATAATTAGTTAACAGTATCAAACATTATAAACATCACATTTGTAACCATTATCCTCCAAGTCTATAACTCAAAATATTTACTTATTCAACGTTCATTATTTAATTATACACTTACTTCATTTTTGTTTATATATCCTCCTTAGTTTTAAATTTCTAACTTCTGTTTCTATTTTCTAACCATTGATAGAATAATTCCCACTTTAAAAAGTATTCTGTTTCCTCCTTATACTTAATTTATAAGATTAATCTATCCATTTCAGCACATTCTAATATTTTCTGTATTATATTTTCCTCTATATAATTTTCCAAATTTGTGCATACACAATTCTCGCTGCAGGTACCACAGGTAAAATTAAACATGTATTTCTTTTGTTATATTTTTCCACCTTGACTTCCTTAAATCCCTATCCCAGACTACCCTTCATTTTATCCTTCAGGCCAGAGGTCTCCAAACTTGGCCACTTTAAGACTTGTGGACTTCAACTCCCAGAATCCCTCAGCCAGCTTTGCTTGCGGACTTCAACTCCCAGCTTTGCTGGTTGAGGGATTCTGGGAGTTGAAGTCCACAAGTCTTAAAGTGGCCAAGGTTGGAGACCCCTGCTTTAGGCCCCTGTGATTGTATTAAGTTGTGTTTTGTTTTTTACTTTAATGAGACACCGGCATGCTACAAAGCAAAGATTTATACCTGTACACAGTTTTTAAATTTCCTAAATCTGGAATGCATTCTTTCAAAATAAACCTGGCAGGGAGTGGTCAACCCCTGTTTTCAAACAGTTCGTCCCCCCCGGGGCCTGTGTGCCTCAGTAGATGAAATTCTAAATGTCTATGGAGATTCCCAGTTATCCAGGTCATGGCTGTCCCCAAAGTGCTTTTTTTTCCTAAAAGCACCTGGACTTTGTTTTTCCTTGAAGACATGTTGCTTCTCATCCAAGAAGCTTCTTCTGCTCTGACTGGACAGTGGGGCTAGGGTGGAAGGATCTGCAGGATGTTTTCTGCCCTGTGTCCCTGCAGAAAGCACAGCTCCACAACACAGTCCTTTCCGAGAAGACTCCACACCCATTTGCACCACTCAGGTGACCCTAAGGACAAACCTCCAGGTGGCCTCAACGACCCTCTAAAAGGACGCAAATGACCAGCTGCCTACAAGGAGTCTAAACCCTTCCATTCCCCACCCTCCAGTCAGAGCTGGAGAAGCTTCTCTGGTGAGAAGAGAAACGTCTCCAAGGAAAAACCAGGAAGTCCAGTTGCCTCTTGAAAAAGCACCTTTGGATGCAGTTCTGGTTTGGGCTGTTCCAGATTTCCACTGGTGGAGCTGGGGGCTGTGGAAGGATGCTCAGGGAGTCTGACTTGACCAGAGCAACTGGGCGGCCTGACCCAGTTGCAGAATGACAATGGACGTTTCCTGCAAAAAAAATGTGATTACATCGGGATTCAAAAGAGGCCCCTGAAACTTTCAACCTGAAGCTTAATAACCAGCTGGGTGCCAGCATTGCGGCTTTCTCCTCATGGGTATCACTTCAGGATAGCAGTGCCCCAATATTTGAGGGGCTGCCACAAGAAAGAGGGAGTCGAGCTATTCTCCAAAGCCCCTAAGGGCAGGACAAGGAGCAATGGGTGGAAGCTAATCAAGGAGAGAAGCAACCTGGAACTAAGGAGAAATTTCCTGACAGTGAGGACAATTAATCAGTGGAACAGCTTGCCACAAGAAGTTATGAATGCTCCAACACTGGAAGTTTGAAAGAAGAGGTTGGATAACCAGTTTGTCTGAAGTGGTGTAAGGTTTCCTGCCTAAGCAGAGCAGTTGGACTAGAAGACCTCTGAGGTCCCTTCCAGCTCCTATCCTATCCTATCCTATCCTATCCTATCCTATCCTATCCTATCCTATTAATTCCATATTCTATTCTATTCTATTCTATTCTATTCTATTCTATTCTATTCTATTCTATTCTATTCTATTCTATTCTAACTTCTATTCTAAATTCTATGGTGATTCTATTATTTCTATTCTATTCTATTAACACCATTGCTACATTCGCAAAAACTCAGGCTCTCCTTAGCGCCAGATTAATTTATACCAAATGCTAAGACAGGGGTCTCCAAAACCTGGCAACTTTAAGACGTGTGGACTTCAACTCCCAGAATTCTCCAGCCAGTTATGCTATGCTGGCAGGAGAATTCTGGGAGTTGAAGTCCACACGTCTTAAAGTTGCCAGGTTTGGGGACCCCTGTGCTAAGACAACAAGGGGCTTCTCACTTTGGGCTGCTACCAGCTCTGGGCTGCCACATGCTGTCCCTGGAGAAGAGCCCCAAAGTGTATGGCTTTGTTCGTATCGCTTCGCTACCTTCTGCCGGTCACTGGATTGTAGTAGCCCTGATCCAGAGGCCTGGCAGTGCAGGGGATTTGGGGGTCGGGGGGGGCGGTCGGGTGGAGCTTCAAACTTGTTTTTTTAAGGGTTCCAGGAAAGACTAAGAAGAAATAATTTTGCTCAAAGCCAATTTTCTAACCCTTGCTCAGGGTTCCTTGAACTTTAAGGTTTTGTTTTAGATAAATTTTATTAATGTTCAATTAATTACATTTCTTAGTGCTTGATAAACATCACGTTGTCTGGGTATTTAATTTGCTTAACAGTACAGGGTTTTTTTTAATTGTCAAGTTCTGCAGCCTGAGAAAGTCTGAAATCCCCCCTCGTCGTGTGTGGATGCAGCCAGTGATGTTGTGGGGAGGGTCTCGGGAGTTTTTCTGGAAGGTGCCCCCCCCCCCCAGGGTCAGCAGTTTGGCTCCCTCCAGTCTTACAGCTATTCAAAGTGTCCGGGGGAGGGTAGGAGGGAGCAGGAAAACACCTGAACGCAGGTACAACAAATGAGAGGAGAGGAAAGGCAAGGCAGAGTTACCACGGGCATAATCGTTGGCCTTCTCCATCTCCCGTTTGAGTTGCTCGACTTTTTCCTCCATCTCCATTTCCCCCAGGGAGTTGTCGTAATTTACACTGCCCTGCAGCAGGGCAAAGAACTTGGCCTGGAAAAGAGCAGAACAACGGCACGAGCCTTTAGACTTATATGCCGCTTCCCAGGGCTTCCCAGCCCTCTCCAAGCGGTTTACAGAGTCAGCCTCTTGCCCCCACAACCATCCGGGCCCTCATTTTACCCACCTGGGAAGGAAGGAAGGAAGGCTGAGTCAACTGTGAGCCGGTGAGAACTGAACTGCCAAACTGCTGGCAGTCAGCAGAATTGGCCTGCAATGCTGCACTCTAACCACTTTGCCACCACGACTCTTGGGCCAAAGGGGGCGAGGGAGAGCTGGGAACAGGCGCGCAAAAGGGACCTCCAGGCGCAAAGGCGGCGAAGGGCAGCCTAGTGGAGTGCTCAAAATACAAAATGTCCCGAAGGAGGAAAGTGGAAGAGAGGATTCAAAGGCAGTTCGACACGTCTCCTCCCTGCTGGGCTAGTTTTCCGCCCGAAGGGAACAGGCACTTTACGGCAGGGGGCTGCAGGGCCCCTCCTCTCTCAACAGCTGATGGATCAGTTATTGGATCTGAATTTCTGAGGAACAATCAATCAAACTGAGCTGAAAGGACGTTGCAGGACCCAAGGCTGTTGACCTTGGCTCCTTGCAGGAGACAATTCCTGTCCTGCTTTCAGGACAAGAGCAGTCAAAGGCACAGCCTGGGGCTGCTTGGACCATATCTCCCATCATGCTGGCTGGGGAACATGGGAGTGGTGATCCAGCACAGACCACCTTATTGGACACAGCCTGAGAACTGGGGACGTCCAGGGTCTCCAGATGGCTGTCCTTCATCCAGAACACCTGGGATCCAGATCAGTGTTTCAGCCCAGAAACCTCTCTCCCTCTCTCTCTCTCGGAAAAGAGCCGAGGCCGAGCGATGGTCAGTGCCTTTGGGTCGGGCAGTTGCTCCGGCTGGGCAGAGCGAAGCATCAGGCTCTCCTGTAGGCAGAGCCAAACCTTTCCGCTCTAGGAGGATGCCTGAGCCACAAACAGCTCCTCAGGAGCTGTGCAGCCTGTGCAGACGGCAGCGGAATCGGACAGTGGGGAAGAACAGAGACCAGTCCAGGAGTCTGGGGAGGACTCAGATGAGGGTCCTGCATCCGATGCAGAGATGGGGCCAGGACCATCTGGGAGTGGGGTGCTGCCTCTGGAGCCTCCGGAGTCTGGCAGCAGCAAGGCAGAGGACCCAGGGGAGCCTGTTCCCAGTGCGCATGTGTGCAGAGCTTCCAGAAGGCGAGAGCAGCTGAGACAAAAGGGACAACTCGGGAGTAAGGCTGGGAGGTGATTGGCCCTCCCATAAGGGATACAAGTAAGACTAAGATGATGAAACCTTTGCAGGAAGCAACCTTGTTTTTTCTCTTCAGATTAAACCTTGAAGCTCTGTGTGGACTTTGTACTTTGGTTGGTTTTTATAGTTCATTTGGTACTCCAGTTGTTGGCAGCACTTCAGAGGAAAGAAAGGTGGGTGCTTATCTTGAGGGACTGTTTGGGACTCATTATGGGGAATGAACATAATTCCCAGCATTGCAATAAAAAGAGAATTGTATTAACTAAGCATGTGCTTAATTACGGTCTCAGGAAGCCTTGGTCAGAATAGGAGCGATAAAAGCCAGGGAATGGTGGAGTTGTGTCAAAAAAGTCAAGATGGCAGCCAGGACTTATGGTAACCACTCTCTCTCTTTTGAAGGAAACGTTAAGACCACTGCACTGACTTGGTGACCCTGCCCTGCAGGCTGCCCTGGACCGAAGAAGCCTCTGCTGCACCCCAAATGGTGGGGATGCCACCCCTTCTGCCCATCCTGGGGTCCCTTCTGGCGACCGGTCCCCTCACCTTGAGATACTGCCCCAGGCTGCCCCTCTCGTTCTCGGCCTGTTTCCGCTTCCGCACCACCCGCTCGCAGATGCTGGGCTTCCGCTCCATCTGGGTGAAGAGCTCCTGCAGGGACTTCTGGGTGTAGCTCAGGCCTTGGGCCTCGTAGTCCTGGGGAGAGATCCGCTCGCAGAAGGACAGGGTGAGCGGGTACTCGCTGTCAAATTCCTCCAGGGTCTCCATCCTGCACGCCTCGGCCAGAAGGGAGGGGAAGAGTCAGGCACAGGGGAATTCAGCCTGCCCACCCCCAAACCCTCCCCCATCCACTGGGGCAAGGCAGGGAAGGTTACCTCTGAGCATGTTTAGAGAGCAGTGCTCTCAAAAGGCAAACAAATAGTGGGGGGTGGGGGGAGGGGGGGCAGAAGAGCATGAGAAGATTGCCTCGGCTGGCGTTTTCAGACCCCGGAAGGGGCACAGATCCTACAGGCAGAGGCACAACTTCTGCCTCTCCAGATAGAATAGAATAGAGCTGGAAGGGGCCTTGGAGGTCTTCTAGTCCAACCCCTTGCTCAAGCAGGAGATTCTATACCATCTCAGACAAGTGGCTGTCCAGTCTCTTCTGAGAAACCTCCAGAGATGGAACATTTACAACTTCTGGAGGCCGCTTCTGTTCCCCTGGTTAATTGTCCTCCCTGCTAGGAAGTTTCTCCTTAATGCCAGGTTGCTTCTCTCTTCGTTTAGTTTCCATTGTTTCTTGTTTGGCCCTCCAGTGCTTTGGAGAATAAATTGACCCCCTCTTTCTTTGTGGCAGCTACAGACGGTGAGACTACAACTCCCAGCACCCTTTGCCACAACTCGTGCTCCCAAAGAGATGTTGGAAGTGATAGTTGAGTCCTGCCCTGCCCGCCCACTCCAAAAAAGTTTTGCAGCTGGCTCCCGGGATGCCCAAGACCCCAGGGGTCTTCAACCTTGGCCAGGATAAGACTTGTGGACTTCCAACTCCCAGAATTCCTGAGCGAACATGACTGGAGGAGGAATTCTGGGAGTTGAAGTCCACAAGTCTTCAAGCTTTCAAGTTTGAAGACCCCCTGCTCTAGTAGATCAAAGAGTCTCCAATCATGGCGACTTGAAGCCTGGCGGACTTCAACTCCCAGAATTCCCCAGCCAGCAAAGCTCCGGCATTCCCCAGCACAAAGTTGGCTGAGGAATTCTGGGAGTTGAAGTCCACCAGGCTTCAAGTCGCCATGATTGGAGACCCCTGCCCTAAACGCCTCCCTGCCCCGGGTTCCGGACCGACCCTCCTCCCCGGAGCCCCTCCGGCCGGGGGCCGAACTCTCCCACCCCCGCCCGGCGCTCCAAGGACCCCTCCGCAGGTGCTCCAAGGCGGCGGCGGCGCCGGCCCGGGGGGGGGGGGGGGGCGTTTCCGCGCCGAGGGGCGTGGCTTGCCTGTCCCCGAGAGCAGCTGGCACAGCTGGTGCCCGGCGGGTTCGCGGCGCTGCTGGGCTCCGGGTTGCGCTGCCGCCGCCCAGCCGTCCCGTCCCGTCGGGGTGGGGCTACATTGTGACACGCCGCGGGGGGAGAGGGAGGGGGAGGGTGTTGCTCTGCTCTCCCTGCGGTCCGCATCCCCTCTCCCGGCGCAGGCTGGCAGCGGGCATCCCCCTCCGCACCGTTGGCAGCCCGGGCGGGAAGGCGGCGCGCCAAGCCGGTTTCCTTGCATCGGAAGACCGGCTAGCGTCTGGACAGTAAGTGAGTCAGTTGTTAAGCGAATCCGGCTTCCCCTATTGACTGTCATATCAGCTTAAGAAGAGATTGAACAGTCACCACTTGTCTGAAATGGTATAGGGATTCCTGCCTAAGCAAGAGGTTGGACTAGAAGATCTCTAGGTTCCCTTCCGACTCTTTTATTCTATATCCTAGTCTATATTCTATTCCTCTATGCCAGCTCTAGGCCTTCTCTTCGTAAGGTGCCCGGTTCCTGCAATCGTTCTTCATCTGTTTTAGTCCTACAGAGCAGGGGTCTCCAACCATGGGAACTTTAAGCAAAGCCTGGCTGGGGAATTCTGGGAGTTGAAGTCCACAGGTCTTAAAGGTTGAAGACCCCTGCTATAGGGAGTATTTTATTTTAATAAACTTTATTAGTCTTTTATATCTTTAAAAACTGAACCAGAAATATACATATTATGACATTCACAGCGTGTGACATCTATCTCATATACTTCTATTTTGTGCTTATTTACAAATATATACAATCTATGCGAATGTAAACCCTTATAAATTGCTTATCATTAATTCTTTCATCATCCATTTGTAATATTCAGATTCCTCTTTCTCTCGTAACATCAGGGTTAATTTATCCATCTCAGCACACGCCATTATTTTTTGAATAATTAATTCATCTGATGGTTATAGAGAGCATTTTAACATCCTGCACATCTCTGTATGGTTTGCCAATTGCACAGGGGCAGATAGGATGGCTCTCCAGAGGGTGAATGTCATTGCCCGGAAGATCATTGGTTGCCCTTTTCCCTCTTTGGAAGAGCTTTATAGCCCCCGCTGCCTTAAGAAAGTTCAAAACATTCTCAAAGATCCATCTCATCCTGGGAACCCTATTTTTTTTTAACTATTACCATCGGGCAGACGGTACAGGATAATAATAAAAAGAAGGACAAACAGGCTGGAAAACAGCTTCTATCCCAGGGCAGGAACTCTACCGGATTCTACTGTAGAGTGCAATATTAATGGGGTCTCCATTCAATTGTATAGAATGTGAAGGAGGTGTGTTTGTGTTTTATTTTTATAGTTATAATGTACACTGGTGATGGCACTTATTTCACTCTACGAGGTGCAATGTCAATAAGGTAAGCTAAACTGAACATCTTTGTTGCTCTTCTCTGCCCTCTTTCCAGAGTCTCAACATCTTTTCTTTATTGTGGTGGTCAACACCGGATGCTTTCAAATTGTGGGGGTTGCAGAAGACTCTGGACCGGCCTCCCTTGGGCGGCAGTGAGACCCAATCCGTCTTTGAAAGGAAATCAACCCCGACTGTCCTTTGGATGGACAGATCCTGAAGCTGAAGCTCAAACACTTTGGCCACCTAAAGACAAGAGGGGACTCCTTGGAGAAGACCCTGATTTTGGGAAAGATGGAAGGCCAAAGGACGGTGAGATGATTAGACAGTGTCATGGACACAATGGGGGTGTGAGTTTGAGCCACGGTGGTGCAGTGGTTAGAATGCAGAAGTGCAGGCTACTTCTGCTGACTGCAATTTGGCAGTTCAAATCTCACCAGGCTCAAGGTTGACTCAGCCTTCCATCCTTCCCAGGTGGGTAAAATGAGGACCCAGATGGTTGGGGGCAATAAGCCGACTCTGCAAACTGCCTAATTAGAGAGGGTTGTAAAGCACTAGGAAGCGATTGCTGTCTTTCCTTCCTTCCTTCCCGCTCCCTTCATGTGGAGTGATTAGAATGGAGTATTGCAGGGTAACTCTGCTGACTGCCAGCAGTTTGATTCAGTCTTCTCTCCTTCCCAGGTGGGTAAAGTGAGGACCCAGATTGTTGGGGGCAAGAGACTGACTCTGAGAACTGCTTAGAGAGGGCTGGAAAGGATTGTGAAGCGGTATATAAGTCTATATACCACTTCCCAGTTCCTTCCTTCCTTCCTTCCTTCCTTCCTTCGCAGTGGTTAGAAGGCAATATTGCAGACTAATTCTGCCCACTGCCAGGAATTTGATTCTCACCAGGCTCAAGGTTGACTCAGCCTTCCATCCTTCCAAGGTCAATAAAATGAGGACCCAGATTGTTGGGGGCAAGAGGCTGACTCTGGAAACCACTTAGAGAGGGCTGGAAAGCACTATGAAGCGATTGCTGACTTTCCTCCCTCCCTCTCTCCCTCCCTCCCAGTGGTTAGAATGGAGTATTGCAGGCTAACTCTGCTGACTGCCAGCAGTTTGATTCTCAAAGTTGACGCAGCCTTCCATCCTTCCTTCCGAGGTCAGTGAAACAAGAATTGTTGGAGGCAATATACTGACTCTGTAAACCGCTTAGAGAGGCTGTGATGCACCCTGAAGCGGTATATAAGTCTAAGGGCTATTGGACAGACTCCGGGAGACAGTGGACAGGGCTGTGGGCCTGACATGCTGCGATCTGTTGGGTTACGACCACAATTGAGCCCAAAATTTCCACTGTGAGACATTTGCTAAGTGAATTTTGCTCCATTTTACGACTTGTCTTGCCATAGCTAAGTGAATCACTGCAATTGTTAAGCTAGTAACACGGTTAAGTCAATCTGGCTTCCCCACTTGACTCTGCATATCAGAAGGTCACAATAGGTGTTCCCACGACCTCGGCACATTGTGATTGTCATAAATATGAGTCAGTTTCCAAGCATTTGCTTTGTGATCATGTGACCATGGGGGATGTTGCAACAGTTTTTAAGTGTGAAAAGGGGTCATAACTCACTTCGAATGGTCACTGAATGAACTGTTTTAAGTTGAGGGCTACCTGTATTCCAAGTGTGTCTCACCAGGGCAGTATTGCTCCATCCAGAGGTGAGTCTGGAAGAGTCTAAAACAGATTTTATTAAAGGGCATTACGGGGTGGGTTGTTTTTTTTTTGAACTGCAACTCCCATAATCCAGCGTTAAGAGAGCATTTCTCAATCTTGGCCACTTTCAGGATGGGTGGACTTCAACTCCCAGAGTTTTCCAGCCGGAACTTCTTGAGTTTTGATCAACTGCCTCCTTGTGGCTTCCCAGGATCTTCAGCATGAAAAGCCTTTTCTCATCTGAAACCCGGAGATCTTTTTAGCAGAGCGAATGCCACAGAATGATCCATCGGTAGAAAATGGGGTGGGGAATTTTCCTGCAGACTTTTTGGGGGATTTTCCCAGGCTTTCTGTTTTCTGCAAAGAGCCTGGGAAAACATCAGCAAACCAAAATTCCTATTAGTGGTTCACAAAATTATGGTGGTCCAAGATCCAAAAGATTGACAACCCCTGGACTGGAGCACTTAACACAATATGTAATGACAAAAATGTATGTTAAAGAAGTCCACCACGTTCAATGTTTTTTAAAATTTATTTTTTAAAGAAATGTGATTCCTCTGCTTGCTTTTTGCTTGGGAGATCCACGTAGGATCCATGCAGCCCTCTTGAGAGGTGCCCATATTTTGACTTTTAGCTCTCCTGCAGCTGACCGAACCTTTGCAATCAAAGCCACAGGCCTGCACCCCCATCCTTGCCCCCCCACCAACCCTGGAAGAGCCCCCACCCATCTTGGAAGAGCCCCCACCACCACCTTACAACCATCTTGGAAATCCTCACCTTTTGCAGATCACAGAGCCAGAGCGGTTTTCAAATAATTTATTAGGAATTTAAAACAGAAAATCTGGAGGGGAAAAAAAGGGGGGGGGCGGGTTTACAGGAATGGCGAGAACGAACATTGACATACAATAAAACCGGCTTAATAAAAAACACAGCTTTATTTTCATTTATAAAAGAAGGTTGGCATAGAAGTAGCCCAGCATGTGTGCCGAGGAGGAGGTACAAGAGGGCCGCTCGACAGTCACGTCCCCTGACGCCCCCCACCCCCAGCCGAAGACTAGAATAAAAATAAACCCCTTCCATCAGACACCCCTCCCAACCTGGAGCCCCCCCCCCACACCCTGCTGGCAGGGATGAGAGGCGCTGCCCCTGTCGTCTCTCCAGGGAGAGTTTTGGGGGGCTGCGATAGATTGTGGCTGCTTTATTATTTCTCCTTTAGAAAAAAAAACCAGACAAACACACTCATCTGAGTAACAAAAATTATTGCTTTGTGTTTCCAGTATTAATTAGCTGAGTTTTCCTCTCTTCTTCTTCTTCTGCCACCAAGGAAATTCTCTCCCAATATTTTTTCTGTTGCTTAAGGAGGGGCCGGGATTCTGCCAGTGAGGGTTAGGGGCCCACAGGAAAGGAGGAAGGAAGGAAGGAGGCAAAGGACCCGCAGAGGAAAGCTAACCCCAAAAGTTCTTCCTAGGATTCAGGTCAGAGGCAAAACCCAACAGGCTAAAAACTTGAATTAAAACTAACTTCCAACTAGTTAGCAGACCGGAAACTCGCATGCCAGGAATAAGATTTATAAAGGCCAGATTCCTGATGTTGTTTGCTCCGTGCAGGGTCTTTTTCCTCCCCAGCTCCCTCAATCTGACACTGGGGAGACCCTCAAAAAGTCTGACCCCAAATCCCTCTTGGCAAGACCCTCCGTTCTGCTATTGGAAGCTATCCTTGGCGGGGGCCATGGCATCACCAGCAGTTGGTGAAGGGAAAATCTTGTTCTGGACAAGTTTCACCGTTACCGTCAACTGAAAGCGAGGCAGGCGGGGGATGTTTGCTGCATCCACCTTTTGCCCTCCCCGCCCTGGGTGGAGGCCATAACCCCAGCTGCCTTCCCCAGCCCGGTGGGGAATGACCTTGGCCAAAGAGAGACACTACCTAGGAAGCAGCTGGAGAAGAGACGCTTGATCAGAGGAAGACCCCCCTAAATTGATCAAGCACTTAAACGTGGCGATAGGAAGTTTGTGCCTTCAGACGTGCAAGGTTTCTCTGAATCTTCGGCCTCGCAAATGAAGTCAATTTCACCGGGTTGCGTTTCCTGCCTGGTTTACTCTGGTGACACCCTTGTTTGGTTTGCCACGTGCCGAATTCCTCGCTCGCATGACCCTGGCACCTAGGAGGCCTCAGGGAGGAAGGAGGAGCCTCCCTAATGCAGTATCCAGAGCTGGACAAAGCCAAGAGACAGGAGCGGGATAGCTGAATCCTCTTGGGGTAAAATCTGTTTGTCTATTTAATTTTTGTATCCGGGCAATTGTTGAGGCTCTTGGCGAATACAAAACTGACCCCTTTGGGTTCTAAGTGGACTCTGAGGCTGTGTGGCAAAAGACCCTCCCCCAAGACAGAGGACAGCCCGCCCACCCCCCCACCCCCAACGGAGGCAATGGGAATGCCATGCAAAGGAAGTGCAGGCCCTCTCCTCCCCCAGCTCCTCTGCCTCAAATGGAGGGGGGGCGGGGAGGAAGCAAGGCCTGGAGTGGGAAAGACAGAGGATGATGGATTAGGGACAGGGGTGGCATTCTACTGGTTGGGCCCGGTTCGGCCGAGCCAGTAGTGCCAATGAGCAGTGGAGACCGAACCGGTTCTCTCCACTGCTCTGCTGTTGGGCCCACCCGCCCGCCTGGGCTCCCAGACTCCCCTTTATCTGCTGAATTTGAAGCGCAGCTGCTTTCACGGCACAGAATAGCGCTGCGTGGCAGCTGCTGAAGCGACCGGGAGAGTGCAGGCTTGCAGGAGGTGAGTCAGAAAACCTCTGCGCCTGTGCAAAGTACATGTTTGGCACACGTGCGCACACAAAGTGTGTGCATGCACCCAAAGCATGCCCACCGAACTGGCAAAACTTTTTGAATCCCACCAGTGGTTAGGGACCCCTCCCCAGCCGCTGGAAACTTGGATCTTCTGAGATATGGTCAAGCTCAAATAGGTATCGTTATTGCTGATGTACCCTCAGCTGCACATGGCTGCAAAAAGGGAGGAATGCACACAGAGGGGAAAAAATGTGCCTTTGGGACAGGCGGGGGTAGGTCTTGCCTCTCCTTCCGAGCCCCCCTGGCTCCGTTGCCAGAGATGGACAGATGCCTGTCCCCAAAGACACCCCCAGACCACCCTTGCAGCCCATGACCCCCCTGGCAGAAAATGGCAAATATTGAGAGAGTTGTCCCTGGTCCCAAGCATCAGTGGAGGCCAGCCACCGGGCCAAAGTACCCCGTGGGCTCAGGCCACATGAGCGAGCGGCGACGTGGCCTGTTCCCCTTGCTCAGCCAAACAGGCCCTGCTGGTTACATGGCTCCCACCCAGCCCTCCCCACCCTGTCTCTCACCCACCTTGGCTTCCTCCCAATCCCTCCCCCCCTGCCCACCCCACCCCCTCCCCTTCCATCTCATCAGAAGTCATAAAAGCTTACAGCAAAAGGTATAAAAAAGAAAGGAGGTTTGTCGTGGTCCAAACAGAGAATATTGCTCACATTGGTGGCTTCAAAGCCCGAAAGAGAGAGGAAAGAAAGGAAGAAAGGAAGGAAGGAAGGAAGAAAGGAAGGAAGGAAGGAAGGAAGGAAGGAAGGAAGGAAGAAAGAAAGAAAGAAAGAAAGAAAGAAAGAAAGAAAGAAAGAAAG